GACTGAGCCACCCAGGCGCCCCTAGAATCATGTATTTTTAAGTCCATTGGTGTAGACAACCTACTTGAATTTGAAAATCTTAGAATTTCAATTACTCCATGATTAAGAGCTCTCCGTCTTTTTTTTTTTTTTTAATTAAAAAAAATTTCTTTTTCAGTAAGCTCTATGCCCAACATGGGGTTTGAACTCATGATCCCGAGATCAAGAGCCACACTGCTTTACCGACTAAGCCAGCCAGGCACCCCAAGAGCTCTTTGTCTTTTATAGTCTATAAAGAAAGAAACAAATGAGTAAAATTTTAGGCTATTTACCTAAACCCAACTGAGTGACTGGCTGCTCTTGCAGCCATTACCCAGAGTAGCAGGATATATAACCTTTAAGGCAACTGAGTATAGTGTTTCTTAGGTAACAATTCTCTAAGCGTTGGCCTACACACTCTGACTTAGGCAGGTATGTGTCTGATTAGCTCACTAGCAGGTGTTGGCTCTCTGGCCCGCCAGCCACAAGCCACCTGTCACCAGTGTCACTTATTCACTCATTTATGGAGTGCAGTGGCATTATACCTCTCTACAGTTAATGGCCTTCCTTTTATGACATTAGTCATACCGAATCTACAGCTTTGAGAGACAGCAGGCTCTTTGGAAACACTGTCCTCAGATGCTTTCACTAAGCATGAAAACTACAGAAGACAAATTTCAGTGAGTTTTGGTATAAATGCAAGCTTGTACCCTTTTGCCAAGCTCTACTCTTACTGAGGAAACAAATTCCTATTATTTTGTAAGTTATACGAATACTGCCTTCTGTTGTAAACACTGCTGACAGGACACTCCTTAGTAAACTGGATCTACTCTCAGCTAGTATACAGTGCTGCATGGATGGCGAGCTTCAAAAGGTGTCCTAAGGGGCAGCTGGGTGGCACAGTTGGTTGAATGCCTAACTCTCGATTTCAGCTCAGGTCACCATCTCAGAGTCCTGAGATTAGGCCCCGCACAGGGATCAGTGCTCAGCGAGGAATCTGCTTGAGATTCTCTCTCTCTCTCTCTCCCTTTGCCCCACCTGCTTGTGCTCTCTCTCTCTCTCTCTAAAATAAATACATCTTTAAACAATAAAATAAAAGGTGTTCTAAGAGGACTGGATCGAGTTGCCAGTGCCAGACTCACTGGCTATGTGACTTTGTATCAGTCTCTGTGAGCCTTGGTTTCCCTATCTGTAGTCCCCAAGTTGTGAGGATCAGTGAGTTAACATAAACTCACACTCTAGTCACACCCTGACACTACGGCACACAGTACACTGTAGGTGAAGCATTCTCCTAGCTCCCAGACACACCCACTGGCGGCAAGCAGTAGTGACAGGAAGAGGAGTCACCATCCCCAGCACCACAGCCCTACGGCAGAGTACAAACTCTCAAGTTAGGGAGAACTAGAGCGGAGTTCCACTTTTCCCACTTTTCTAGCTTCAGGTCGCCTTCGTAGATTATTTAACTTCCCCGAATCTAAGTTTTTATATCTATAAATGTAGTGATAATCCACCTACCCAGACAGGATGCTGTGAGGCTTAAATGAGGTTAAACATGTAAAGTGCCTGGAACATAGATGTCAAATGTCAGCTCCCTGCTTTCGTGAAGCCATCATTATCAACTACTACCTTTCAGAGAAAAAGGTTCTGAGAAAGTGTACAGGAAGGGCAGAAAAGTGCAGAGAACCCTGAGGGTTCAGAAGACAAATGAGGGTGCACGTGGGGAAGAGCCTCAGACACTGTCTACAGCTGGTGGAACACCACCATGCTCTGGTCCTGGCATCCAGGAGTAGGAGGCAATGAGAACCTCTCCCTTCATAATGGGACCACAGCTCAGTCCTACACTCTGCTTTCCAAAAGGAAAGGAGAGGTCTTATCTTCTCAAGTCCACCTCCATGACTAACCACTCCTATGACATCATAACCCATATGTCCTTATTGATGCACATTTCTAATTTTCTAGAAAAACTATACTCTCAAATGAGTCAAAGACTATATGTTCAAATAACATTTGAAGAGGAAAATGTTAATTTCACTTACATAGAGAAGCACCAGAAGCTCTAGGATGTGTGTTTGGAGATCCTGAAATAGGTCCAGTAATTGCTCTATTTAAACCATAATCACAGGATGAGTTTTAGCTCATGCAAGTTGAGGATACCCTCCAAATAACACTGTAAAGTTTTAATGTCTCAAGAACCATTACAGAACTCCTACAATCTGCCCTTCCCTGGACTCTGGTGGAAAGTGTCATCTCAAAGGAGTGATGGGGCCTGGTGGCCTGGCCTCCTTACTACGGAGGCTCTCACTGGTATGCCTCATAGGCAAGAAGAGAGCAAGAGCTAGGAAAGCACAGCTGTGCCTACGGTAGCCCAGTCTCAACTGTGGCTTTACACAACTAGGACAAAGAAAATGTCTGTTAACTTATAAGGAGAGTGGGATTAAGCAGATACTTACTTCTGTTTCCTGTCGGGAAATGAAGAAAATAAAACATGAGCCAGTGGAAACATTAAAAGAAATGCCAAAAGACAACTGGGTTCACTAAAGCCATTACAGTTGCATATATGCAGATGCCTTTATTATTATTATTATTATTTTTAAGTAGGCTCCACATCCAGTGTGGAGCCCAACGTGGGGCTTGAACTCCATGACCCTGAGATCAAGACCTGAGCAGAGACTGAGAGACGCTTAACTGACTGAGCCACCCAGGCGTCCCCAGATGTCTTCTATAACCTTGTCCAAGCATTTAAACATTGTATTTGTAATCATATGAGGTGGGTTAAGGAAGACTTTGGAGTCATGACGGTAGATGAGGATCAAATCCTCGGTTGTCCACTTAGCTTGGGCAAATGTGTGATCTTGGGCAAATTACTTCTTAGAGCTTTGGTTTCCTCATTTGCAAGATGGGGACAATATCTACACTTCATCAAGTTATTATAAGTTACAACGAATGGGTATATGTAGACAAGTAGACTTATAAGTAGATATGCTTTAGGCATGCTATTGAAACATACTGAGTAAGCAACCCAAGAGGAAAAGAGCAATTATTCTTACTGTTTTATTTATCTATTTCCCCCAACAGACTAAATTTCTTGAGAAGGGAAGGGAGAAATGATACATATCTGTACTCCCAGCACTCAGCATGCGGGCTGTAGACAGTAGTTATTCAATAAAGGTTTGCTGAATGACTACGTTGTCATCTTCTCTTTTGTAAGTGCTTACTATGGGCCAGAAGCTGATCTAAGGTCTCTAAAGAGGATTTCTTCTTAAAAACCCTATGAGGTATCCTTATTTTAGGAGAAAGTGAGGGTAGAAAGTTAAATACCTTGGTAAAGACTGAAGACCTGGAACAGAAACCACGTGTGACTACAGAGCCCCCCTTTAGCCACCACCTTTACGTCCTTCCCTGGCACCGTGATATGCAGCTAAATATTTTTGAACAAGTTAATAATTGTCAGGTTTGAGAAGTGGCAATGGAAAGGCACTTAAAAAAAAAAAATGAAGGGAGGGAAATCGGAGAGGGAGATGAACCATGAGAGACTATGGACTCTGAAAACCAAACTGAGGGTTCTAG